TTCCTCATTCTTTGGTCTCTCGAACTCTGTTGCTAAGGTTCTTCTGGTTGTTTTCTGCTCTGTGCTTTCTGAGGCAGCAAAGGGTTTTTCGAAGGTTTAAGTTCGAAGGTTTTACTAGCCATTTCAAGAGAGGCCGTGCCTCGTGCGCGCAGTTTCTTTCTTTAGGTTTTTGTCTGAAACTTGGGAGGGCAACAATAATATCCTTTCAAAATAATAATAATAATTTTGTTTAGAAACTAAGATTTATTAGATATAAAATTAAAAGTATAACTACATCTTAAAAATCAAGAATTATTAGATTTAAAATTAAAATTTTAAGAATAATTAAGGTATAATTTGAAAATTTAGAGGTTAAATTTTTAATTTAACCCTGTAGAGATTATTATGTAAAATAAATATGTATTTTAAATATTTAAGAAAATTTAAAACTTCAAAAAATAATTTAAGTTAGACATAAAATAAAAAATATATATATATTTTCCAAATACAAATTTTGTGAAAAGAATTTAATGAGTGAAATTTCGCCATAAAAAAAATAAAAATAAAAATCTCCATAATTTAAGCATATGATTAAATCCTTCCTTGGGTTCCACGGGTCTGCAGAAATGGGTTCAACTTCAACTTCTGCATTCTTGGTCTGTTCTCAAATTATACTTCCCGGACCCAAAGTCTCCAGCTACAATGTCCGGAAATCGCCCAACTCTCGGTTCATCGGTCTTCGGAAGAATTACAACGCAGTTGCGAAATTTTTCCATTTCCCCACTCTCAATCCTCCCGTCTCCAAGCTCTCCGAGTCCGATTCATGCCGTTCTTCCCCATCCCAGAGAAATTTGTCCAAATATTTCCTTGAGAAGTTCGTGGCTTTACTTATTGGGTCATTTATCTTCATGGGTTGTTTCAATGTTAGATATGCCATGGCATTGCCTGCTCAGAGAAGCAGCAAAAGCCCAACATTGGATGAGAAAACTGATACTCTAAGTGAGGATAGTGAAGAGGAGATGAGAGAGAGGATTTTGGAGCATGAGCCAAGAAATATTGACACTCTGAAAGCTGTTTTGTATGGGAAGATGAGGAGTGGAAAGACAAAGGAGGCCATTAAGTACGTTCAGAGGCTGATTGATCTTGAGCCAGAGGAAGTCGAATGGAGGCTTTTGATGGCTCTTTGTTATGAGACAATGGGGCAGCTGGACACAGCAAAAAGATTGTTCATGGAAATTTTGGAGAAGAAACCTCTTTTGGTTAGAGCTTTGCATGTAAGATTCTAGATTGATCGTGTGAGAGGATAGCGGATTTCTGTCACTAGATTAGCAGTTTTCATATTTAATTATTTGGGAGCTGGAAATTTTACTGTAATTGATTAAAATATGATGTTATCAGTAGATTAGCAAGTCTGATGTTTGCCTTGGAGATTTTATTGGCCAATTCGTTTACTGAACTGACTGAGGATGGGGAAGAACAAGTCCGAGTCCGAGATGGATTCTTATTATTGAACTTGAAAGTAGAAATTAGACATAAGTTTTTGAGCAAGAACTGCTAGAAAATGACTTCTGTGAAAATAGTTAATAATTTTTTGCCCTTAGTTATATTCAACTTAAAATACATCAAGGTCACCAAAATTTCTGAATACATTGTAATAGTGAAGGCCAGTTGATATTCTTCAGTCTCATATATAACATTCAGACTAGAACTGATATAAGATATTGCCTTATAATGTTTTTTAGCCCTCATGGGAAGATATTAATTGATATGTTGATAAGAAATAAAAACTTCAATATCCTGATTTCATATGTGAGAATCGTGCCTTCTAGCTTTCTACCTGTAGAACTAAGTTATGTCAATGCATAATTTGAGTTCTTCCAATTTGCACTTTCTTCAGGGTCTGGCATTAGTGATGCATAAGAACAAGGAAGGTCAATCTGTCTTTGATATGCTCAATAAGGCTCTGGATATTGCTCGTGACGAGAAAAAAGTAACTGAGCAGAGGAGCATTGGAATACTAATTGCTCAAATGCATGTTGTGAAGGTTACTTGTAATTCATTGTGCTTTCTCAAAAAAATTTTGACTGATAACCAGAATGCTTGCTACTTAGTTTTCTATGTTCTATGAATTTTGAGCCAACTTCTTTTTGGTCGAGTTCATGTTTTTCTTTTCTCTCTATGTTCTATGAATCTTGCTACTTATATCTTTCTTTTCTCATTCAACCTGTGGGGTTCTCCTGCTTCTTAAACTGAATACATCTACTTAAAAGGGTGCAATGTTTGGATGTCTGGTATTAAAAACTTATCCAACCGACTATGGTGATCAAGATTGGTTGCTTTGAATTATGGCCAGAGAGATATGGTTTTTGTAGAAATGTGGAGATGGCAATGGTGATTTAGATATGGTTTGTTAAATAGCCACTAGATAGAGTTCACTCTCCATCTCTATCTCCTTCCCAATATATATAATCGTAGAGTTTTTTTTGTACTAAAGTTATCGTCTTGATTCTTGCACAATGGATTCTTGTCCAACAAGGTAGCTATGTCTTTCAGGGGGAACTGGAAGAGGGCTTGAAGAAGTTTCAAGATCTTGTTGATGAGAACCCACGAGATTTTCGGCCTTATCTTTGCCAGGTTCTAACATATTTTACAGACTATCGATCTCATTTATTATAATTTTGGATTAATCCTTCTCCACTCTACTTGTTTAATGCCCAAGCTTGCTAGGCTACTTATTTGATCACATAAATATGGAGGAAACTCTACTTTTACTTCGTTAATAACTGATATATCCTTTGTCAACAATTAGTAAGTATATTTTGAGGCTAATGGCATTCATTTCAACCAATTGAACAATCTACAGATTCTACACCAAGGATATGGTTGTTTGTACTTGGCACATTGATTATGTATGGTATGGGTTCAAGTCAATAAAATAATTTAAACAGAGAATTGATGAGTGGGAACAATAAGAGGAAAAGAAAAGTAGGTATGGGATGAGGTTCTGACCCTTATCTACGATTTAGCCAAGCATCAGCACATCGAATTTTCAGAAAAATGTAATTGCTAGCTTATTGAAGAGGACAATTGTCTTTGAATAGAGTTCCTGAATGTTGAACTGTGAAGAGACATGTTTGGGGGAGAGGACGAAATACTGAGATGAAGAATATATAACCAACTGCGTTTCTTGCAGGGAATCATATACAGTCTGCTAGACAAAAAAAGAGAAGCTGCAGAGCAGTTTGAGATGTATCGGGCTGTTGTGCCTGATGAATTTCCTCAGAAGGAATTTATCGACGATATCGTGTTGTCAGCTACAACTGCATCACGGGAACAGTTCGAGAAGGAGTTTGCTGCTGAATTTTCATACAAGAAGTGAAGCAAAGAAGAAAAGGACTCTGATTATTAGTTTCAGGAGTGTTCTGAATGCGACCACACGAACACCAATGCTTCTGATCCTATTATAACTCTGAAGTGTGCTTGGGCTCATGTCAGGCGCACACTTCAATGGTCTTTGTGTAAAACTTGTTGAGGGTGTTCATCCATGTAGAATCACATTGTAAGGGAATTGGCTGTTTTATGATAACAAACAAAGAAAACAGAGTGCAGTGGAGCGGTTACTTTGAGTCTCCTTAACTCATAATGTATCAGCAATATCAGAATGGAGACAGACTTGAAATGGAGACGATACAGGGCTGTTGATGACAATGAACAAAGAAGATAGAGCTCGGTGGAGGTATTGTTGCTTGAATATAGTAATAGGCTAATAGTGATTTAATTTGAATTTTATGTAATTCAGAAATATCAGAGTAAACAGACCTGATTGTATGCTTTATTCTTTCTCTCTCTGTTTTTCTTTCCTCAAAGTTATGGATATACTGAGTCTGGGAGTTGCATGTTCAATTGATGGAACCTAACACCAGCTTTCTTGGAACGGTCTATTATTTGTCTGCAATGAGTTCTTGCCAATGTCATGTTCCTTACTTGATACTATTTGTTCGTTAACGAGATGTATTCGGCTCATAGGCTAGATTTATCCAACTCAGGATTAAGAAGTCAAGCTTGTGTTTAATATGTAGGTTTTCTTATTTTAGATTGTAGGTCTGTTGATCTCATGGGTCACCTAAACTCACGTTTATGAAACTTACTTTTTATACTATAAACTAACTTTTACAAAACTATGATTCCAAAAACTAAGTATAAAACTCTTATAGCCAATTTTCTGTGCCATTATAAGGTACATAAACTCAAACTTTCTAATCTTAGGTTTAACGGCGACTCAAATCTCTCACTGCATAACAAGAGGTAATCCATTCCTTCTCGGAAGCCGACATAAGTGAAGTTAGGAGAAGATAGTTGGGATGAGGTTGTATGGACAAAGTTACCCGTTGTTGATCCAAAAGGTAGACCAACTCAACGCGGATCTGGGAATGGGGGATGCACTTGGCTAAACCCACTGACATCAAATATGGTCATCAGATTAGGACTACACTTCCCAAGACTTCTCTATAAGAGGTGGAATCCTACCTTTTCAAAGATATACGAATGATTAAAGAGAATGTCCATATCACTCCTTAAAGAGAATGTCCATATCACTCATTGTGATTTAACGAACCTAAGTGTAAGAATATATGTTCAATTAACAATGTTTTAAAATTCAGTTTAGTTTGCTAAAGCAAGCATAGCTCAGTAGTAATTGGCATAAACCTCCAACCATGAGATTGTGAGTTCAATCCTCTATCTCCTGTTGTACTAAATAAAAAATAAAAAATCAGTTTAATTTAACTATTTATTTATTTCATAACCTTTCTTAAAATACCTTTTCAATATCTAAGTCAAATTTTAAAATCTAAGACCAGAACACTACCAAATGAGACATGTATTAGATTGTACAATCTCACACCTGTAGATAGAGAGGAGTTTTTCGATGTTTTTTTAGTATGGCAACACACTCTTGAAAGAGCCAATTCTGGACAAGTAAACAAGACGTGAACTTGGTTCGTCTCATATCTGCTTTTTCTTTTTTTCCTTTTTTTTTTTTGTATCAAAGTCGAGATTTTCGACGCAAGAGACTAGACGAGCCGGACCAATATCACTCTTGTATAATTCTTTCATGACATTTTTGTTCACAAATGAGGGACGTGGTCACGGTGTTTATATATGCTAAGTATCATGTAGTTCAACGGTTCTGCACCTTTCCATCCTCCATTGGCTTTATTTTTGTGCTTCCGTGGAGTGAATTCAAAGAAATTAGTTGATGTTCAGCTACATATTGTCTAACTTTCTAGTATCTTAAGTGGCATCAGTAAAGCCTATTGCAGATTCATCTTATCAGGCCAATAAAACCAGAAACTTCACCAGTATTTTAAAACATAAGAAACGAACCGAAATTTCTATACAATCTCTAGAGAGAGAGAGAGAGGATATTAATTAAATAAGCAATGCATCTCAGTCAAGTATCCAATATCCATGGATGATCTTCCCAGAAATTTGGCTCAATTATATTAGAATGCACAACAACAATTTTTCTCTTAGAAATTCCCAAAACATCTGCATTTTCATTCACCGCTGCACCGTCTTCCTGCTCAAAAAAAAAAAAAAAATCACCTTGATTGGAATCATATAAAAATGACTGATCATATGAGATCATTATAAAGAACTCTCAAGTTTTAGAACATGACTGACCAGGGACCCTAAAGTATTATATTCATAAATATATGACAATACATAAACTAGGTCCAGAGAGAATGTGAAGATTTTTTTAGCTACCATTATGTAGCAAATATGTATACTAGATGTGGAATAAACAAAGAAGATAATTATTAAGGAGAAAAAAATTGAAAAAAAAAAACTACCTTGTCCCAGAAACCAGAAGAGCCTTGGCGAAACATGAGTGGTAACTCATTATAAGAAATATTGAATTGTAAGTTAAGCAAGCGATCCTTCTCCTGTGCTTGAGTACCCTATAAGATAAAATTTAAAAGACAGATTGAGTGATGTCAAAAGCTCTTGAGAAAGCTGACAAATGCCCATCAGCTAACGAGGGGAATCCTATGAATTGTGAATTATGATTATAGCGAGCTAAATGAAGAATCCTATGAATTATGATAAGCAAGTTACTCTAGAACCCTTGGGCCTTGGTGAAAGAAACAGTTTTGTTTGAATGATACCCGTCCTTTTCATGTTTTGAGTCATTGTATTAATGAGCAAATTAGTCGACCGGCTCAAAATGGTCATAAATTTCTTCTATTCTTCATGTTCAACATATTTAGGTGTACCAAATGATTAGTATATGGGGCACTTGCATACTCCATATTTTCTGTTAACTAAGTCAGGTGTTGCATCATAAGAAGCATTAAAAATCCATATCAATATTGCATTATGATCAGAGTTCGAGAAATTAATAATTGAGAATAAATAAGTTAGTATCACATAATCACATGATATTCCAAATGGGCACTATAGTTTCCACTGGACATTAGTAGCCAAAAAGAGAAAATAGTAAGAACCAAATTAGCACCTTGAGATAGGCTTGAGCTTCACTTTTACTTTTTCCAGACTTAACAAGCTCCCAGAAACACGTATTATACTGATTATTTATGTGACCTGTGAATTCAAAGGGACAACCAGCATATTGGCATCCAGTTAATTGGAAACTTTATGGAGATAAATTGAATTTACATATAGCACTGAGAATTAGAAAATAACGTATGATAAATATTCTTGCAAGGTAAAGAACTCCCTGAAAAGTCAGGATTAGGTTGATATTGATAAGATAGTACTCACAATCAACTTGCCTCCATGCTAGATAGTCCAGAAGGATCTCACGTGACGGATAGCAAACAGCACGTCCATCAAAAGAAGGAGGGTACTTCAACTCTTTATGTGGGAAGAATTCTCTCCATTTCATTACATAAAGGGAAGAGAATAATGATACAATAATGGACACTATTTCACTGCAAGGATGGTTGTTCAAGTGATCCATTAATAAATGACACACCATTTCACTAAAATGTTTCTCATATAACTCGTATAAATGCAAGAAAACTCAGAACAGAAAGAATAAGAAGCATAAAATTAAACCAAAATCAATATGTTATAAAAAACCGAGACCTCTCTATCCTAAACTCTCTACTTCTATCATTAAAAACTCTGGTTTAGTTCTAACCAAAACAAGGACATAGTATCATAGGACAAAAAGGAGGAAAACTACGAGTTCAAAACTGTAAACAGAGACTGAGAGAGTGAAAAAAACGGCAATAGATAGAGAGAGCACAAGTTATGCATTGAAACTATATATATATTTTTTTTAGAATTTAGAATCTAGACATGTGGTCACATTCCCATAATGTCAAACCAACATCATCTTCCACGGTTACGGTAGAGTCTCTCAAAAATGGACAGAGATCACGGTAAAGAAACTTACTAGATACCAATATAAAAAGAATTCTTCCCATATAAAGAGTTGGGATTTTTTCTACCAAAAACATATCCCACAATTTTCAATTAGGACAATACACTGTCATAAATTTTATCACATTTTTTGTTAGATACACTTCCTATGTTTGAGGAAATCATTTAACTTTAACAAATAAACAACGAGATGAATGGTCATCATCCTGATAAAACCAATATGGAACCATTCTCATACAGTAATGATAACCTGTCATGAATAGATAAGGTAAAAATATTTCTTATAGTCTGCCATCTGAAACTTCAAATTTTTACCGACTGGATAAAAGTGCAGCATAAAAAGGTAGAAGAAATGTAATAGAAAACAGGACAAACCTAGCTCTGCGTCCATAAATTTGTGAATCCTTCTTCAAGACAAAGCTGCAAATTATAAACCTATAACATGACTACAAATGTGGAAAATGAAATTTTGAAATAAAAATCGAAATAGAAAAAATACCTGTACTCATCACTAACACCATAGGAGAAGACCAAGTCAGGAAGTTCTTCCATTACAGCCACTGCACATGAATTCATAAGGTTCAAAGCTCGCTCATCATTTGGCTTTTCAAACTCATGAACTTCGGAAAATCTACCAAAACCATATAGCCAAGCCACTTAAGTATCATATTTAAATTTCCAATAAACAAGCCATTAAAAAATGTATCATATACCCAATACTACGTGTTCTCATTTATCATTATTCATAAAGTGGAAAACAATTACCATCCGCTATTATTAACACTTTTTATGTTAAAGCTTAGAACACCTTAACAAAGTATGACCCCAACAATTAAGAAATTAACCGTGTATTCTTCCAAATTGTTTCTCAATTACCTGAAGATTGGAATCTACCAAGCCTAAGACGATGAGTTATAAGGTTACAAGTCATATAAAAGTGAATGAACCCATTCATTAAACTACGATGGGACATTAAATATGTTCTTGTAACTAGGATAAAGCATCATTGAGAAATGTTAGCTGCAAGCTAAAATATTTTATCTACAAAAGCATAAATATAATTTAAGTTTATGCAAGCTCCAAGATGAATTCCAAAAAGATCACACTATATAATTTGATGTTAATACAAATATGTAGTACGAAAACAATCCTCTTCACAAAATATCCTAGTTTGTTGAGAGGTCAGGTTGTAGAGGTAATTCAATTAGAAGAATGAATCCACTAGGATCATATAGGTTTCAACTTCAACTGCAGATAAACCGCAAAGAGTGTGTATTTCAAAGGGGAAAAGAGGAACCTTGGAGGATCTGATGAACTTACCTGTGAAAATGACAGCCATCTATTCTTATAACAATCCATGTAGATGGCATTAGTTTGTTCTCAACTTGGAAGGACCTAACATAATCTGGATTTATTTTGTCAATGTCATTTGTGAAAGCACCAAGCTCCTTTAAGAGAATGGGATGTTCATTCCAAAATCTTCGTCCAGTAATATTTGGTGAATGAATTACTGTTGCCTTTTTCCGTAATCTCTTAACAGGATTGCCATCTTCATCGTACTTCACTATCTCTTCAACCTAAATAAAGTAGAATTTCTTCTTAGAAAGACCGGTTAGGAGAACCCTGTAACATGACAATGAGAAGAAAATAATTCTCTTCGCAGAATCACAGCCCACCAAGCAACTCTCTAGCTAAAAATAACTTGGAAAATTATGTTCAATTTTCAAATAAAAATTTTAAAATGACATTGCATGTTAAAAATAAAAAATAAAAAGACAGTGTAGAATGAACTTGCAATTCTATAAAGTATGTGTCCAAATTGTTCAAGCTATTGCATAACATTAGATATATTAGAGGTTTATGTTATTAAATATATTTTATTGCTTCTTATCCTACATTTTTTTTCCTGAATATCTGTTATTGCCAAAGATAATGCCGGCACAATCCTTATTTCACTCATTTTATGATCCCACTTCTAGTAACGCAGTACACACCATGAGGGTGGTAACAGATTCTTTGGGAAAAATACTGAAACACATATGCCCAGTGATTTTCTCAATGACCATTTATGATCCTAGTTCTAGACGTATTATGAGGGTGCAAACAGATTCTCGAAAAGAAAAAAAAAAGAAGAAGAAGAAGAAATACAAGTGCATATTCAGTAATCTTCTCAATTCCTTTCATACAACTAACGAAATAGTTTGATGTTGTTTGTCTAGAACTTCAATCTCCAATAAAGCAAAATCTATAGGCAAGTAAAATAAAAATCAATTTAATAATCAATCAACATTTTCTTCTAGAGCAGAACCTTTGTCTTGAAAATGCAGGATCCTTGACGAAACATTACATTAAGATTTGCATAGTTGATATTGAACTTTTGAAAAAGCAGCTCATGCTTCTCTTTCTTCTCTGTAACCTGCAAAATTTGCAAATAAACAGTAAGTCTGGGTAAGTCGAATCTTTCAGGAAGGAAATAAATCTTGGCATACTTGACTCGGAAACAATTCAGATAACTGTGCACAAAATGCCGGAGAGACATCAAACTAGAAGGGAGACGAAGAGGGTGCTCAATATTGAATCTAGAACCAATCCATAACATTTAGAAATACAGGACATAAAGCTTCTAAATGTATAGGTAAATGGTCCAAAGTAATTTACTCAGCCAAACATCTGAGAAACCAAAAATTTGTCAATAAGGGAAAGTACAATCTATTCCTGTCGATCAAATATTTGAAGCAATTATTCACTTAATTCAAAGTCACATTCTGATTTCCAATGAAATGAAGGAATATCTCTACCAAAGTAAAGTCCATTTATCCTAGCTCTACTACTCTATATTTTCCATTAACTTCTACTTTGAACTCGTCATCCTTAACTTTGTCTTGCTGTGATTGGTTCCTTTCAAGTCAAAAACCATTCTTGTAAGAATAATTAAAAGCCAACAGTTCCTTCGAAGTTCCATGCAAGGTTTTTTAGGAGAGAGAAATGGGGAGGGGGAGAAACGAACCATTCTTGTTTTAATGCTTATACGAGAGAGAGAGAGAGTGGGGGTGGGGGAGGGACAATTTTTCATACTAGAAAACCAAACATTAAAAAATGAACAAATGCACACAAATACAAGAACTACAATTTAGCACCTTTAGAAAATCATAAGCTTCCTTGTCTGTCTTCCCACATTCAACCAGCTTCCAAAAGCATGTATTGTCCAAGTTATTAGTATGACCTAAAAAAATGTGAATTTGCAAGGTTTAAATATGCACATTTTACTTGCCAACCCAAACAAAGAGGAATCCATTTGAAGATCTTACAATAGGTCCTGCATCTTTAAGAAGGAATATTGTGTGTTTCACACCAAAATGCAACCACTTACAGAATTGTTGTCTCCATGCAAGATATGCTTGAAGAACTACCGTAGTAGCACAACATACTACATGTGCACGAAATGATGGTGGGTATCTCAAGTTCTTCTGAGGAAAGAATTCTTGCCATTTTGTTATATATACAGAGGTGAAGGAAGATACAATGAGCGAATATAATTTGCTGCATGAGGCCAATTTATAAGGATATCAACATAAATTTTGACAAAATAAGAAAATTAATAAATGAAAAGGAATATAGTTATTATAAGGAACCGAAATTATTTTGGTAAATGATAAGAAACATTTTTTTTTCAATTTAGAAAAATAAAACAATTTTCTTACCAAAATTTAGAATATGGAACGGAAACTCATATTTCCAAGCTTTGATTTGAGAAAGCAATGACAGCTCATAAATTAAAACTGATACCAGTGTGAAATAACAAGTAAATAAATATCATCCAATAATAGCTACGTTCTTTTCCTTGGTAGCAAAGAACAATGTCTTTATGATGCTTTGTGGTCATGGGATGAAAATGAATGCAAAATTATTGTGGATTATTGTGGTTTAGGGTTTAGGGTATTTTTTGGGGTCCAAAGACATAAAGGAATCAACTTATTTTTGTAGGATAAGAAGCTCATTAGGAAGAAAGATTAAAGATTGTAAGACGTCATGCAGCTTCTTGTTATGTTATTTAGAAATTATTTTTCATTGCAATCGGTTCTTGTTGGGGGACTTTTTTGTAAGAAATTTTAGGGTTGTTCTTTGATAAGATGCTCAATTATAATACTCTTGGAAGGAGTGACTACCAAATTGTTTCTCTTGATAACTCTTTTACCAATGGTCTTAATACCCCGAGAGAAAGAATCTCAATGCTATATATTTATTACCATATAACATTCTATCATTCAACTCCTCATAAGAAAAATCTTCATTGTCCCAGATTCCTAGAGCTTAATTAGAAACAAATCTAATTCTCAAATCTTAGAACAATCAAAAGTATGGGATCAGACCCAAAAAAGAAAGTAAAGGATAAAAAAAACACCCATTATAATTGCATGCAAAAATCAATCCTCGTGCACGAATCCACGATGCCCAACAATGGAGGATAACAGGATTTTTCTTTACATCACATGTACGTTGAGTTCAAAATGAAGGTTGTAAAAGAAAAAAAAAAGGAAAAATCAAAAATCAAAACAGAAGACCATAAATCAGTGGAGAAACCTGGCACGCCTTTGATAGAACTTGGTTGTCCTCTTAAAGATAAAACTGTTACACATGAATACATCAATGATTGGTATAATGTCAAAAGAAACAATAAATTTTCTGATAAATAGCTAAAAGAGTGGAGATGACATAATAAATGACTAACGGATCACCTGTACTCATCATTAAACCCATATGCAAATACTACATCTGAAAACATTTCCATTATGGCCATTGCACAATGATTCATCAGCTTCACAGCATTTTCGTCATTTGGCTTCACAAACCCATGAACTTCAGAGAACCTGGGAATGAAGGGAAAACGATTATGAGCAATATTGCAATAGACAATAAACATAAAGGCACTAATCATTTATATATGCATAGGAATCCATTAACTTAAGGTTATGGCAGTCTCTTGGGATGTTTACAGGACAGTTTATCCCCTACTGCTAATCAAAGCTAAATTCTAATCGATATGTTCCTTTTTCATTCATTTTTTTCTTGAAAATATATGCCATTAAAGTAATTTTATCAGATGCCAACATGTTAATGCCCAATCATATATTTCATCATCTGTAATCCCGTATACCTATCTTCTATTCTATTTTAAAATATATTATGTTTTTCTGCATTATGATTTATGTGCCTTACTTCACTAGATGTAATTTATGTGCCTCTCACCCGAGGCAATCAAGAAGCTTATCATCTTACGGTGAAGTTGTCAACCCTTTCAAGGATAAGGTTGATGCAGACACAAAGAAAATGCTATCATGAACGACTTAGGTGACTAAGAGAAGCCTCAAAAGCTGACATGAGTATTAGCTCAACTGGTCAAAGGATTACTTACCTCCACATGAATCTCTCACCCAACTAAAACCATACAAATTCAATGCTCTCATACTTCAATCACTAGTATAATATCTTAAATGTTTAATTATGCAATATAAAGTTACTAGGTGAGAAAACCTTCGAAAATCAAGACCATAAACTCGAACGACGATCAGATTGGGCAGCATCACCTCATCATCAACTTCGAACAGCTTTACGTACTCATATTTACTATTTGCCATTTGAACACCACCAAAACCAGAGCTTGAGCACAGAATGAATACTTTGTTTTTTCTGAACCAAACAATCAAAAAGTTGTTGGCAGACAGGTTCCAACAAAACTAGCTGAGTAAAAAGAAGAAGCAGAAGAAATGAGGGAACTAGACTTCTGAAAACTTCAACACATTAAATTTTCAGAGACAATCAGTGAAAGAGAGTGAGAATCAAACCAATATCCACGACAACCACGCTCCGTAGATTTGAGGAGGTAGTAAATTTAGGTTTCCCGCAGATTCAAACGTGCACGAAGTTATCTTCATACATATTCACCGACAGAGGATCACCGTGAAAACAGAAGATAATTTATTGTGGGAATGGAGGTTCTGAGAAGGAAACAAATGATTGTGAACCAACTACAGATTTGAATGAAAGAACGAAGGGATAATAGAATTGCGCGGTACTTATGGATGATTTCCAATTGAGCGCCAAAGGGAAATTCGACAACTACGGGGACAAATCCATTGGATTCGGTTCGATTTTCTTAATCAATCGAACCGAACGGTTCTTTCGATTCGGAAAGTCGAAAGACGAGCCAAAGGAAAATGGTTTAACTCCCTTAATGAATCATGTTTTTGCCGCAATTAAATATCTCACATTTAATAATGAAAAATATAAAAAAAAAGTATTTTAATAAAAAGTCAAAAATATTTTAATAAAATGATAAGTTGTCAAATATTTAATGCTTGGTGATAGTGGAAAATGGAACTCCCGAGTATTTTCCACGAGCCAAAATATCTCTTGACGCCCTTCTCTCGTGTGGCCACATGGTGGTGGTGACGGTTGTGGTCGTGACCGTGGCTATGGAAACGATGCAGCACGAATGAGCGACTTAGAGGCAACTAGAAAAAGCTATAGAAATTCAATACTTTTATTTTATTTCATTTATTTATTGGAGATGAACGAGGTAAATTTATGCTTAATTAATTTGAGGGATACCCAAGTTGCTTTCATACTTTGGGTAATCACAAGTATAATATATATATCTAAAAATAATAAATAATATATATTACACACACTATAAGACTATAGAGAAAAAAACTTTATCTCATTTGACTACTTATTTTATCTTTTAATTCATTTGTTATGCCAACATGAACTCAACAGTAGCAACTGTATATAAGATTGAAAGAAATCATAAGTTTGAATTATCTATTCTCACCCATTATACTAAAAAAAATCATTTATTATAGTTCTCTAAATTTTTATTTTTTATTTTTATTTTTCATTTTTTATTTTGCACCGTATCTTTTTATCGTTTTTATTCCATTTTTATTTTCAAACAACCAATATATAAGAAATAACTAATTCGTGCCAAAATGAGTATAGCTCAGCGTAATGTGTAAATATATCCAATTAATAGATTGTGAGTCCGAAATTTCATTCCCACATGTTGTACTAAAAAAAATAAAAATCAATTCATAAACGTAATTATAGATTTCATCTTTTTTTTTTCTTTCAATTTTCCAATAGGTCAACCTCTACATTTTGATTAGTAATTTAGCGTATTAGTCAGAAAATTATCCATAAATACGACGATAATGTGTATAAATAAATAAACAAGATTGTTGACACTAGAATGCAAGTAGGCTCGACAGCACGAGCCCAACCAGCGCTGCCGCTACAGCGATCCTCAACCTCTCGCTAGCACTCTTGCTCGTGTCGCTCGGGCTCGCGCCGGGGCTCCCGCTTGGGCCCGCACTGGCGTCGCCCTCGCTCTTAATCATTATCGGAAACAAGCAGTCCCCAACCGTTGTATTCGTCGTCACAATCTCCGCTGCACCTCCGAAACCACACGCCTCCGGGTTCTGGCTCTGCATTTGATAATACATATTAAAAACATACGAAACGTTCCCTCGCGCATCCAATTTGTTGCATGAACACCCATACCCCAAGCTCGTGCAATCCGAATGCTCGCACGCCCACGACACATCTTTTTGTATATCTCCACCCAAATCAGTCACATTATCTGCAACAACGCACCACTTACGCTCCATATACTCCACCCCCTTCGCCGCCACCGGCATCTTCTCCACACCCTCTCCGGAAAAGTCCATCGCGAACTTGGGGGTCCCGTCATATCGGAAAATCCCCCAATGCCGCTCAAAATTCCCCGGGTCAACACTTTTGACGTCCTCGTCCAGAAAACTAAATAGGTAAATTTCGTATTTCTCATTCGGTCTCATTGGTGTCCCTTTGTTGGACGCCACTCTCTTGAACAGCCCGTTGTAGAATCTCTTCGCCAACGTCACGTTCGCGTATATATTCCCGTCCGTTGGCCACCCGACTTCTCCGATGATGATTTTCATGTCGTTTACGCCCATGTCCTTCAGCGACCACGTCAGCGTGTCGTAATGTGCGTCCAAGACGTTGTAGTAAATGGTGCCCTTGTCGTCGACGACGCTGTCTTTGACCTTGCCGTCGTTGTCAAGGAAGGCGTAATTGAACGGAAAGCCGGGATTTTGATAGAGATTGATGAAAGGGTAGATGTTGACCATGAAAGGCGATTTGTGTTCGTCGAGAAATTTAACTATTTGCTTCATGGAATCGTAAATGTCGGCGCGGAACTTGCCGTCGGAAGGTAGGTTGGAGAAGGATTGGTAAACGTCGCCGTTTAGCGGTGTAGTGACTTTGACTTTGTCGCCATGGCCAGCCGCATCCAAGGCTTTCTGCACGTTTTGCATGGCCGGGAATGTGATGTTGACGTAATCTCCTTTGTAAGCCGCCAAGAATGGCTCGTTTCCGACGGCGATGTATTTGATATCAACACCCCCTTCATGCAAGTAAGCAGAAATATTTTGTTTAACCCAATCTTTGACGTAGTCGTAGTTAGTTGCAAATTTCTGAAGGCGATAATTAGGGACGCCGACGATGGTCTCGATGCCGGTGCCAGACAAGGCTGATAGATGAGCCACCGAGTCCAAATCGAAGAGCTTCACTTTCTTTATTCCGTTATCCTTCAGCATTTTGACCACCACGCTTGCCTCCAATGGGTGCGATGCAATTGTTCCCCAGTTCACGCCGATTTCGCCTTCTGCGCCGACGCAGGCGAGCAGCGTTGCGGCGGCGATCACGGCGGCCCACATGGCGGGGAGGAACATGGCTCCAACCATGGTGAGATGTGTGTGTAAGGCAATTGAGGTTTACGTTTTAGATCAATGCAGCTGCGGGGCTCAATAGATGGAAGCATGGTTTATATAGGCTCTGTGCTGAATCGAGTTGGTTAATTAGTGGATGGTTGAGAGAGAATTAGTTATGTGTTTAGTTTTGATGGATTCAGATTTCTGGTCGGAGTTGAAGGTTCAAGAAATTTGGTCGGTTCCTCTTTGTTTCGGGGAAGAAGTTGAACTTAATTGGTTGGAGCGTAGAATGAGATATATTTGTCTGTTCTTTACGGAAGAAAACAAATCAAATTACCATGAAATTAAACAGGTAAGTCATATATCTAAATCAAAAGTGGTTGGTTCAAATTCTCATTCGCACACACCTTATACTTAAAAAAATCTTAAAAGAAAAGTATTTGTCATATGTTATTATAGTCATTTTTAGAAAACAGTAATATTTATGTGCCCGATTCCGAAGTATCTGCTACTAATCATGATTATGTTTTTTTATAGAGATAAATGAATAAAAGGGGAGAGAAGAGATATTTTTTATTGTTCTTTTTTAAATCAATAGCTATCAAATTTTGAAGGGTAGTTAATGAAAAGTTTTTAGGAAGACGAGTAATAGAAAGTTGATGCCTAAATATTATATTGTTGAAATTGCCTAGTATAATTTTATCCATGTGTGCGTGACTCTCCCCAATAGTGGTCAGTAAAAGGTAGATATTTTGATCGAAATTATTGTTTTCTTAGTACAATAATTTGGGAATATAGGAGATTGAACCTTCGACCTAGAGGGGAAAAGAACATCTTAGTTATTGTCGAGCTATGTTCATATTGATAAAATATTGTTCTACTAATATATAGTTAAAGCTATACAAATTCAATTATATTTTTTAACGCATTTTTTTGTTACAATAATTAAATTTTTTGTTCCTACAAGAAAAATGTTTATAAATGATTTGATTGGAAATTGGAAATTATAATTTATTTACTCCGTTACAATTGACGATGACTTTTTTTTTTTTAATAAAAGGCTTATTCAACTCATTACAAAATAAAAAGTAAAAAAAAGTTGTAGTAGATACTTACATTTATTTGAATGCAATATTTTAGTTATAATTGGAAAGAAGTCCGTAACAAATGGCTTAAGAGAAAAATAATTTTTCAATTTTAGAAAATTAAAATACAAAAGGGAGCCATATAAACAAATTTTAGTAAAAATAAAATAAAATAAATCTACACTCTATAGTTTTAAATATTTTTAAAATAGAGATATTTATTTAGATATAAAATATTTAAGAAAAACAATTAAAGAAAGTGAATGAAAAAAAAAAGGTGCAATGGGGAGAAAATCTCTCCTCTCGTAGCCCCTTTACATAAATAGTTTACAATTGGGCAAATATTCGATTTTGAAAAAAATAAAAACTAAAAAGTTAAAATGCAAGATTTTATTATTATTATTATTATTATACGCTTTTTTTTTTTATCTTGGATTGTTTTGTTCTTCTAAAAGTTTAAAACCAAGTTGCAATAAAACAAATATTAAAACAATTTTTATAGTTGCAACGATTCTCAAAAATAGAAAATCATGTTATGTATATATATATATTCTATAAAAAGAAAACATAAAATTATTTAATAATAATTGTTTATAATTTATACAATATTTGTATCGAATTATAAATTAATTATTTAAGTATACAGATCAAACTTATTTTTGTAAATTTGATTAGTATAGTATAAAAGTTTATCCATGTGTAGACTTTTATAAAATACTCGAATAATAAAGAATTCTTCTCAATTAGAAAGAAATATACACTATATACATAGAGAGGGAAAAAAATAAAAAATATCAAATAATTTATAATCTTGTAGATAACTCTCAAAAAGAAAAATAGAAAAGAAGACGTTTATTACAACTTTTATAAAACTAAAAATATATCAAATTTTTTTTATTAATGATCCACCGAAAGAATCCGGGTAAGTATTATTCCTTCAAAATTGTCCTAAACCAAATCTGAAATGCGACACAAAAATAAATAAATTAAACAAAAAAGTGCAAATCGTGTCCCCACAGACATGCAAATAGGGTGAAGATAAGCCCAACCACCGCGGACGCCGCCCCGATCCTCAACCTTTCTCCAGCGCTGTCGCTCGGGCTTCCGCCAGCCTTTCTACTCGGGCTCGGGCTCTCACTCGCAGCCCTCATAATCTGTATCTGAAACAAGCAGTCCCCTACTGTTGCATTCTTGGTCACAATCTTGGCCGCCCCTCCAAAATCGCACGCCTCCGGATTCTGATTCTGCGTCTGAT